CCGCCTCTCCTCCTCCCAATGACATCACTGTCCTCCTCCTCCTCCTCCTCCTCCTCTGATGACAGTGAGGAGAGCGAGCTGCCTCTGGAGAAGCAAATGGGTGTGTCCTCCACGCAGTACGTCTGCGTCGACTCCTGGTTGCCTTTTGGCACTGCCCGATTGGCTGGGGGCGGAGGGGGGCGGAGCTTGTTGCCTGAGGATGACTGCGGAGGGGGGACTGAAGGGGCAGCGGTCTCTTCTGGCTTGAACAGTGGTTTGCGGGCGGTGTCAGTGCCATACTTCAGGCTGTAGTCTATTGGCTGCTCACCTGTTGAGTCACTGCCGTAGTTTGATGCTGCCGTGGCATAGCGTGGTGGCGGGACAGATGCTATGCGGCTGCTGGATGTTGCTGAGTCACCGTCATTCCGCCTCCTCAGCCTGGCGTCCTGTTCATCGTCCTCGTCACTCGCGATGCCGCCACGGTGACTTGGACTCTGTCTCCCAGAATTCAACTGTTCGTCGGAGTACTTCAAGCTGTAGTTAATGGGTGTGTCCAGCTCAGCCCCGTCATCGTCCGCCATGTGGTTGGCGCTGCGGATCTTGTGTGCCAAGTCGGCCGGGTACTTCCTGTAGACACAGCACTTGTTGGCTCCGCTTTCGTCTGACGAGTAGAATGGCTCTGATGACGGTTTGGTTTTGCCGCGGTTGCCGTAGCCATCAGCACTCGTTACACTGTTGAGGCTGTCGCTGGATGCTCTGACACTTGGTGGGAACACCGGCCGAGCATACGCCACTTCCTCACTCGTCCTCTTTGATCCATCTCCATTCTTTGGGCTCGAAAGCACCGGCGTGTTGGCGTATGAGCGTGTTGTGTTCCCACCTCCTCCGGCGCTGTTACAGCCCCGCCCCTTCCTGTGTGCTGCCTTGGGGCTCAGGTTGTCGATGTTGTCAAAAGTTTCTGACAGCTGTTGGGCATCCAGCTCCTCAAATAACGCCTTCTGTTTGCGGGCGTGCAGTGATGGTGCGCCGGCACCTGGCGACACCACGCTCGCATCCTTGTAGCGTGCCGGCCGGTTGGCCATCAGGTTGCGCAGAGCAGCGGCACTCCCCATGGCGATCATCTTGTGTCGGGAGTGGATGAGGTTGCGCAGCATGCCCACGGCGCCCAACTCCCATAATGCTTCCTGGTCTTTGGCATCTCTGGCTGACAGATTCCAGAGCGTGCCGCAGGCGTTGGACACGATGGTCAGACTGTGAGACTTCAGGTGCTGCAGCAGAGTCGGCAGGCAGCCGTGCTCACGCAGGATCTGCCTGCAAGACATCACGTAGGGAGTCAGGATGCGATCCATACAGCGCTTGTAGTTACAGGTTGTTTACTCGTTTACAATTGTTTACCTGTGTGCCTCGTTGGTAGCGATGAGGCTGGAGACGTTGCGCAGGATGCCACCGCCGCTCTCGATGATGGCGAGTGTGTTGGTGTGGCTTCGGTGCGTCAGCGTTCCTACCAGAAATGCCAGAGCGCCGTCCACAGCGCAGATATCTGCTTTGTTCTCCGTACAGTGAGCAGACAGGTTCCAGAGCGCACTCAGTACAGACTTCAGAGTCGACTCCTGAAGGAACAGAAGAACAAAACACAACGTGAAAAACTATAGCGGAAGTGATTTGAGAGCATGCTGAGTACAGATCTCATTACAGAACAAAAACAAACAAAGACAATGTTTTTATTTACCTTCTGGACCTCGAGAGCACAGCCCATCAGTGCTCGCACGCTGCCGACCTCACGCAGTGTCTTCTTACTGTTGACATCAGCACGCCACGACAAGTTCCTCAACACACTCGCTATCACCTGATAAACAAAATAATCACAAAATCAGACACTGGACTGAGAACAGGTGTCAGATGGTTGCCATGGTAACAGGTGAATGTACCTGCTGCAGGTCTTCACTGTCAGACTTCAGTTGGGCTACCATGGCTCTCATACAGCCCTTCATGGAGCACAGCGTGGCCTGATGGGACAAACAACACAACGCTGTGATCTGATTGGTTAAGAGAGAAACATGAACAACACGTAAACATGTTTGTGTTTTCCTCTGACCTTATTGGCCACGTCTCCGAAGGTGAGGTTGGTGAGCGCCATCCCGGCATAACGCCTCAGCGTGACGCTGTAATGATCACTGCTCAGACCGAACATCTCACAGTCCACCTGCAGCAGCTCCGCCACCGCCTGCAGACCACCTGCAGGGACAAAGAACCCACACAAAGACAGAAAATATCAATCAACCAGTCCAGAAACAGTCGCTCAAATATCCTTAAAAATCAGCATTATAAAGCATAAAAAACTGATCAAATGTAAAATGACATTTTAATAAGCTAAACATAAATAAAAATCAGCTTTAACAAGTTGGAGAAAAGTAAATATATAATAATAATAATAA